ACCTGTAATCCCAGCTCTCTGGAGGCCGAGGCAGGACTTTGCAAGTTCGAGACCAGCCTGGGCTACAAAGTGAGCTCAAGGCCAGCCTGAACTGCAGAGCGAGACCCTGTCTCAAAAAAAAAAAAAAAATCTTAGCTATGTGGTTGGCTATAATTCACCTATCTTCCTGTAGGTGGTATCCCTACTGATGAGGAGCAGGCGACTGGCCTGGAGAGAGAGATCATGCTGGCGGCCCAGAAGGGACTGGTGAGGAGAAACCCCTATCTGTGATCGCTGTGGCCTTGGATGGGATCGGTGGTGTCCCTGGGAGCATTCAGTTGGCTTGGAGGAACAGAGCCCTGTGGCCCCTGCAGGGAGTGGGGTAGCTCGGCGTCCTGGCTCAGGGCTTGTTGTATTTCAGGACCCGTACAATATACTAGCCCCAAAGGGGGCTTCAGGCACCAAGGAAGACCCTAATTTAGTCCCGTCCATCACCAACAAGCGAATAGTGGGCTGCATCTGTAAGTAGTTCATGACTGTTTTCTCATGCATTTGTTTAATAAAGTCTTGTATGGGATGCGCATAAGCTGCTTCCAGTTGTGTGTGTGTGTGTGTGTGTGTGTGTGTGTGTGGTGACTGTACTTAAAGAGTATAGACAAAAAAGTATAGATGCATGAATGTCCAAGGGTTCTGGCTCTCAATCTTCATGTTGTGTGAATGTGTGTCTCATCCTTACTGGAAAGAGGCATGACAGCAGCAAGACTGGCTCGTTGGAAGGGTGTCATGAAGAGTGTTCATCCAGGGCTGCTACATAGCTCAGCGGATTAAAGTGCCTGCAAGCAGGTGCAGGGGCCCCAGCCTGCCTTGCTGGCCCTGCCCCTGGGGCACGCTGAGATGACAGTTGAGACTGGGCATGGTGGCAGAAGCCTGTAATCCCAGCTCTTGGGAGGCTGTAAACAGGCGGATCACTACGAGTCTGATCTAGTAGCGAGACCTTGTACACCCTGTAGACCCTCCCCCCCCAAAAAAA